TCTATATAGCTTTTAAATTTATTTACAAAAATATACTAAATACATTATATATATTCTTTAATTATCAAATCTTAATCTAATGATATTAACACATACAAATTATCTTCTTTAGGTTATGAAGTTATTGATTGCTACTATAGATGCCTGTTGAAACCTTCTCAAAATAATTTCATCATACTCTTTTCTATATTTTTAATATAGTTTTGACAGTTTTAGTTTTTGTCATATTGAATAGGTTTTATCATATCTTTTATTATGATTTAATATAGTTTCATCTAAGTTTTGACTGTTATTAAGAGGTTTCGTCTTTCATTTATAATTGTTGCTTTTTACAAGGTTTTATTTTTTCTAAGAAACCTAATGTCACTATCCTTTTTAATTATTTGTATTGTAAATGTAATAATTATTTGATTAATGGTATCATTTTTGCATATAGGTACAGCTATTATAACTATTACCTACAAAGATATCAATTCAAATGTTTGATATATTTAGGATATCTTTAAAATGAAGTTAAAAAAATATTGATATTCTTATAGCAAGTTTAATAAAGAAATTGGATAAATAAGAATCTATTAAAGAGGATAGTAAAAATACAGATAAGATGATTTAAATGATATAGATAAGATGATAAATGATATTATAGCATTGAAAAATTTATTAGAACATGTAAAAGAATTAATTTAAACTTGTAAAATTTTATTTACATTATGAATAAATACATTATCATAATTATTTCTCTTAATAAATATATTTAACTTACAATTTTAGTATAATTAGCATTATAAGTCATATGTTTATTTCTCAATTTTTATTGAAAGGTCAATTGATCACATATTTATTTTACGATTTTGATTGGTAAATTAATTGTATTAACTTATTATCAATTCAGAATTTTGTGTAACTAATCTCGAATAATGAGTTTGAGTAAAACTAATACTAAAAAAAAAATAAAAAAAATTTTTTCTTAAAATTATATTTTAAGCATTATATAGAATAGTTTTTGTGAGTTTACCAGTTTTCTATATTATGAATTCTTTATTCTTTCTTAGGAATAATAATAGGTATTTAACGATTATAACATATTTTTTTAAAAAATAAAATTATAGAATGTCTGTGTTCTATTAACACGTCATTTTTTTACATTATTTTACTATATAATAGTCAAAAGTATATATTGTTATCTTACAATACTAATGACTGAAAATTAGTATTAACACAAGATTAATAAAGGGATTTAGCTTTTATTTGATACTTTAGGGAGAGCTCTGAAGGGCTTACAAATAATTATTACTTCAAATAATGATGTATATTTAAAATAAACTTTTAGAATTTATTAAAGAATAAGGAATTCGCTATAATTATATTTGTTAGCATATAATTGTTATTAATATTTATCTTGTTGATGATAAAAACTAATTGAGTTCTAATTGTTTACAAATTATTATCTCTTACTATCTACTACTGTTTATTACTACCTAATATTGTTCGCCTTAACCAAGTCCTAAAGCTATCTTATTTATACTAAATTTGCTAATATAAATAAATAAAATACTAATTGATTATAAGTAATAAATGATTAATAATACAAAATGATTAATAATATAATAGAATTTTCTGACAACTTCTGGGTTTTTTATATAACCTTTGTTTAATTTATTTTTTTCATCTTCACCATCTTTATCATCTAATATAACGCAGTCAATATACCTTTTAGTCACGTGTGTCACATGATCTTTTGGATCAATATCTTCCTATAACAGTATCCTCCTTTTTAAGAATGAATTCCAATGAATTTCTAAAATATTCTATTTTATTCTAAATTATTTTATAGGGTTGTAATTTGTCGATCAATTACATAATAGTATTGTGAATTTTGCTGATCAATTGCATGATTTTACATGATGATTATCAACAAATAATTATTTAATAATTATTTGTTTATATTTTACAGAAGAGGAAATTCTCATGATCTTTAGAATTTTTAAGGGTTCGACACAGCTACTTCCTTTATGTATAAATATTTATTTAAAATTTCATCTATTTCTTTAAATCTTTATCAATTTTACTAAAATTATTGCAAAATTTTAGCTTTATATCTTCATTATAGGCAAAAGTTTCTGAAAGTAATTTTCTTACGTTATCAATACAACCTTCAAAATCAAGAAGAAGAAATAAGATAACAAAGAATAGATGAACTTGATATTGAAAATCACAGGTTTTGACAATTATTAAATTTCTCTTTATCTCAAGTAGATAGTTTATCTAATAAAATTTGTCGTTTATCTTCCTATTTATCTTGCAATAGATATTAATATCGAGATCTTGAAGTAAAATATGAGGGTCTTCTATTTCAATACAATTGTGTAAGAGCTGATGTTGATTGCCTTCAAAGTTATGAAGATGTCCAATCAATCCAAAATCTTCAGAATAATTTAAGTCAAATCTGGAGAAACTTTAAAAGAATATTAGAACAACTTCATCAAAGAAGTAAAGAATTTAATTTTCTTTATCATGTGTCTTTTAATGATTAATTTACTACTAAATATTTTATTAGGAAGAGATGTCATTTACATTTTGTCTGTTATAGAACTATGCTTTATCATTACCTTTTTGGCCATTTTATAGACTATGCTCTCTCTCTTTATCTTCTATAGCTAGTAATAGTTATCATAGATAGTTCTTATAAATGTATTTTCTTTTTATTCTCTTTCCTTTTGATGTATTTTTGATTTCATATTATTCAATAAAATTCTTGCACACTGTTACACTTTTGCTTTTTAAACTATAAAATTTTTCAATAAAATAATGATTATAAAAATAAATCAACCCCACATTTATTTTAGAAAAAAGAAAGTTTTATTAAAATACATTTTTTTTTAATGTTTAATTACATAATATTGACTTCTAAATTTTGATTTTAGTAATTTTGTGTTTCTATTTCAAGATTGGATCCTTTCAATACAAAGTTCCATTAAATTAATTTATCGAGTTTATCAATTTTAAGTTTTTCTACTATTCGAATATTAACATGTTACGTTCTCATAATTTGTTTAGTATTATCTTCAAAAATAAGAAATAATCATTTTGCTGTAGTATAATAATACTTTGATAATTTTGAATCTTTTTGCGAAATATTTTTTTTATCAATTATTTCTTCTATATAATAAAGATAAATTAAAGATTATTTTCTTTTCCTTGTAACTATTTGTCATTGTATATATCGAAATAGTGTTTTATCTTCATATTTAAATCTTGAGAAGACATATCAGGTAAAAGTGGTAATATTACATTAGATGGACTAAGTTCTAATAAATTAAAATATATCTGTTGATATTCCTGTAACATCTTCTTTCTTGTTATTATTATTTTAGTAAAATTGAATCTATTTATATTATAATTATTGATCATCAGAAGTATACTAAGATTGATATCTAATTTAAGAAATAATTATCATTGGTTCCATTTTCTGTTCATTATATTTCTTCAGTCAATCACCATATACTGTTCCTTTAACTATTCGTCTGTCCAATGACCTTAATTTATAATTGTTGAAACTAATTACATCATGCATATAATAAGGATCAATCCATTGAGCTTCTAATTTGGCTGATATATCTCGTCATTTTCATGTTTTCTCAACTAGAACTTTTTCTCCAATTTTTAATCTTTCTGATACTTACTGATCATTATGCTGATCTTTTTATCGCTCTTGTATTATTAAGTGCATCCTGTTTATCTTATTTTAATTTATCAATTAAATTTGTTAATCTATTCATCAGAGCATCATTAATATTTTGCTCATTTGTTTCAATAGAATTTAATTGCAAATCTATTGGTAACATTGCTTGTTGTCCATACATGAGGTAAAATGGAATGTAATCTGTATTTTTATATTTCATTGTTCAGTAGATGAATAATACTAATAAAATATAAGTATCCCATTCATTTTCTTGATCGTATACTAATTTGGTTAAACACTCTCCTATAGTTTAGTTAAATCTTTCTACTATTCCATTTGTTTGAGATCAGTATAGTAATGACAATCGATATTTCGTTTAAAACTTTTGACATAATTGTACTATTATTTGATTCATGAATGATGTTTCTTGATCTGTGAGTATTTCCTCAGGTGCATCATGTTGGCATATTACTTCATATAAAAATTTAGCTACTGTATCAGCCTTGATATCCTTAATGGCTTTAGATTTTGGCCATTTTATAAAATAGTCTATTGCAACTATTATGTATCTATTCCTTGTTTTTGTAATAGGTAATGGTCCTTTTATATCTAATCCTACTCGATGAAAAGGTTCTTAACTAAAATAGGATGTAATAGTTCTTTTCTGATATTTGGTCCTTTTTGTTGGCAGTTGTTACAATTTTCCATATATTCTCTAATATCTTTGAACATTTGTGACCAATAATATTGTTCTTTAGCCTTATTATATACTACTTCAATTCCTAGATAGACTCCTGACATATCTTTATATAAATTAAATAAGAGTACTTCCACTTATTCTTGTATAATTATTCTTTTTAATCTTTCCTTAATTGGTTTGTATAATTGTGAATTTTTAACAATGTAGAGGATTGATAATTGTTGAATTTGTTTCTATTGAGAAATATTGCAATTTTCTGGGTAAGTGAAATTGGTAAGATATTGAATTATGTTTTAATATTGTTGCTTATCCATGATCTATTATTGATATTAAAGTTTATGATATGTTTAGTATCTGTAATTCATCAATCCTTGAGAGAGTATCAGCGTTCACATTTACCTTTCCTTTGCGATATTTTACTTCAAATTGAAATTGTTATAATAAAATCTTCTAATGAATAATCCTTTTACTATCCTTTTCTTTAGTGAGTTAATTCAATAATAATTGCAATGCTGAGTGATCAGTATATATAATAAATGTATTATCTTCTAAATACCTCCTAAAATATTTAACTACCCATACTACTGCTAAAGCTTCTTGTTCAGTAATATGGTAATTTTATTCAGCTAGGCTCAATGTTCTACTTGCATACCAAATAGGATATTCTCTTTCTTCATTGTTTTTTTGTGAAAGTACTGCACCTAGTCCTGTAGTACTTGCATTAGTACTCAAAATAAAAGATTGATTGAAATCAGGATAAGATAAGATTGGCGTAGTTATCAACTTTTCCTTAAGTATTTCAAAAATCTCTTGATATTGTTTATTCAATTGTAAGATATATCCTTTTTTAGCAAATTGTTTAATAGGGCTACCAATTTAAAATAATTTTTAACAAAACGTTGATAATAAGAGAATAATCCTAATACAGTTCGTAATTGTTTAATATTGAATAGAGTGTTGAAGTTGATGATCTTTTCGATTTTTGCTGGATTAGGTTATATCTCTTGTCCTGATATTACATGTCTTAAAAATTGAATTTTATTTTAAAGATGTTGTAAATATTCGTCATAACTTTTGAAAAATATGATGATATCATCAAGGTATACTAATATGAATTTTCTTTTATTTTTTATAATATATCATCCATAGCTCATTGAAAGGTGGCTGGTGTATTGCATAACCCGAATGGAATTACATTGAATTCATATAACCTATATTTCATAATAAATACCATTTTGGGTTTGTTCTGTTTCCTGATCTTAAACTCCAGTATCTTGAAGCTAAGTCTAAGATAGTATACCATGTTACTTCTCCTAAGGATTCTAATAATTCATTAATCCTTGGTAAGGGATATTGGTCCTTTATTATTACATTATTTAATTTTCTATAGTTTATGCAGAATCTTATTTTTCTATTCTTTTTTTTACAAGAACTACAGGTGAGCTTCATTGATTTTGAGAAGGTCGTATAATTCTTTGATCTAATATATTTTGAATTTCCTACTAAATATACTGATCATCTTTTACTGACGTTCGATATAGTTTTAGTACAACTGATGGTACATCTTTAGTAAATATACAATGTTCATGTTACTCTAAATGTGTTAATTCCTGTGTTGTGATCGCAAAACTATTAAGATTTTTCTCAAGAAATGCTTTTAGTTATTTTAAAGAAGCATCTGTTAATTTTCTACAGGTTGTATATTTTCTTGAATTATTACCAATTTCTACTTAAAATCATTTTCTTTGATCTGAACTTTATAGGCAGCTTGTAGATTATACTAGAAATCTGAATCGTTCAATTTGTAGTCAAATTATCTGAATATGACCAACTGATTACGATAATTGATTAGACGAAAATATTGACCAATTATTTGGTCATTTAATTGATTATTATCAACTACAAATGAATAACTAGATAATCGGATATTCAAATATTTGGATTCATTGTTTAATAGGCATGTATCACCATGTATGCGCACATGCAACATCTAAATTAATTAAATAACACATGAAAGATATTTTAATTTTAAAATTATTTTTTCATATTTTTTTGTACAAATTTTGTTTTATAAAATGGGTTCTAATGAATATTATGACGCAATTTTCAATGATAATGTTTCTTTAAAACAAGAAACAATTTTAAGTAATTCTGAAAGATTAAGTAATGTATCTAGAACTTCATTTGACAAAAATGTTAATACCGATGCAAATACACATATTACATAAAGACTATGATATAAAGGGTCTAATGGATCAGCTAAGCAAAGTTTTGTATGGAAATTCTTTGATGAAAAAAATAATCCTAGTAGACCTGGTAAAATAATGGCTTGTAAAAACCTTCTTTCTAACGGCAAACTATGTACTATTACATATGCAGCTTTGGGTAGTACAAGTAATGTAATACAACATCTTGCTAATGTACATGGAATTTTAGATAAAAAAAAAGTTCATATTAAGGTAACGAAAATTTTTTAGTGAATTTTTTTTATCATTTTTATTCATTAATAAACTTTTAATTAATAAATTTCTTAATTTTTTAATATACTAGGCTGTCAAAAATAGAACACTTGATCAATATATTAATAATTCAAATGCTAAGCATTGGACTGAAACTAAGCAACTCAAGGCTAATAGAAATCTTACACGATGGATTCTTCATGGAGTAAAACCAATTGATGTTGTAAATGATAAATATTTTCAAGAATTTCTTTCTTCATTAAATTCTTATTATACTTTACCAAATGAAAAAAATATTAAATTGATGATTTATCAAGCTTATGATTGGACAGAAATAAGCATGAAAGAATTATTACTATTATTTGCAAAGTATATTTCATTTACAACAGATTTGTGAACTTCAAGAGACAAACATGATTATATTGGTATTACTGCTTCTTTTATGGATAATGATTTTAAAATTTATGATATATTACTAAAATGCAAATATTTACCTTATTCTCATGATGCTATAACAATCAAAAAATCTTTAATTAGTTTAATTAATAGTTGGAATTTTCAAAATAATATTGTAGCTATAACTAGTGATAATAGAAAAAATATGGTAAAAGCAATATTATATTTACCTTCTATTAGTAGAATTCCATGTTCAGCACATATTTTCTAATTGGTAGTTAGTAAAGCATTAGAACTAACTATTATTTTTATTGCACATACAAAACGTTTAATTAGATTTTTTCAATATCCTAAACAACTTGAGTGTTTATTAGCAACACAAAAAAATCTGGGTTATATAAATGAAGTAGGAGTAATTCAGGATGTATCTACAAGATGGAATTTCTCATTTTTAGCTTGAGAACGTCTTCTTTACTTAAAGGATGCTATTGATCAATTGGCAATTGATTTATGCGATCAGGATAATAATATTAAAAAAGATGGACATCAATTAAAAAAATTTAACCTTTCTGATGAAGAATGGATTTTTATGGAAAATTTAGTTGATTTACTTGGTATATTAGAAG